AGAAATGATTTGCGTCGGGGACAACTTCGCAACCTGCGACCACGGCCGGTTCGTTCTGCGATACTGTGCCCCGGGGACGGCGTGTCGGCCCTTCGTGAGAACTGGAATTTTCGCTCTTGGTTCTGTGCTAACGATGTGGGGTCCAGCGCAAGTCAATTCTGTGCGACTATGATCACCGTCACGAGCACGATTATTGATTGAAAGTGTCTGTCATGAGAGACGAATTGAAAGGAAACGACTGTGTATGTAATGAAACAAGGACCCGTCAAATACGCGTATAATTGCTCTCTACTGTACTCCTGTCTTGCCGATAATTTAACATCTCCCATATAGTACTCTCTTCTGATCTTACCCTTAGTCTGCTAGGCACTTCCTTGCCACAGCCTCACACTTCCAAGGCCCTCCATGATCTGTGACTTTCGGGCATATTGAATTAAATAAATCAAGTGAGCATTTGTGAGCTGCGAACCGTGCTTGGATGAACACTTAAAAATGCTTTCCTGATTAGTGTGAGTACTGTGTTCCAATGCTCCGAGTCTCGTACATTGATGGTGCGCGCGCTACATATGGGGTAATACAAATGGCAGAGGCGTAATTAGAGGCGTGTGAAATCGGATCATCACGGGACATGTACAATATCAGAGGAATTCGAATTATGAGAGGGAGATAAATCGGTACCAGGAACACGCGGCACTGATAACCGGCTGATCGGCATCGTGCGGCATTGGTTGATGGCGGACTCCTTTGACGAGCCACTGAATTCCACTGGAAATCACTGGCGCGCGCCATGGCCGATGCACATGTTTCGCCTCGATCAATTGACCGTGTCATCCGATGGAATCCGCTGGAACTCAATGGTTGTCCTCTAATAAAATTTCCACCGGTTCACATTTGGCTCACATTGGTCTTCGGCGGTGGAACATTTATTTGGTTGCAATGAATCCTGACAGATTCCTTGAATATTACATAGAGTTTTACTCCGACACCTCAGAAATATTACTGGGACACGCTGGAATACTCTGGAAATTGAACCAAATTTTCATGATCCCCACCGCAAAGCGTTTATAATGACAAATGAATCAAAATTTAGTCTTGCATTCAAGGGAATACATTGGATTCCACTAAAGGCCACAATCAATTCCTTCCTCAATGCCAACTTGACTTAGTCATCCATAAGTTTGTGGTGAATTTGGAACTTCCAGTTTGATCAATTTGAACCCCTAGGATAGAAAACATTTTGTTTTTAATGACGGATTGGATCCTGGGACTAATAGTCTTGTTATTTTGTAATCATCCATCGTACTTCGGTGTGAACCTGTGTGACCACATCCACCACACTGCTCTTAAATACAATGGAAAACGGCGGCAGCCTGCTACCAGGTTTAAATTTATAATAGAGCAAAAACATCCGCCGGTCTGCCTTAAGATTCAGCAATTACGAGTACTTATGTAATAAGTCACGTTCTTTTAAAACTCCCAAGCAGCCAAATTTGCTCGGAATTTTACTAGGTATGCTCGAAACGTTGAGGGACCTGTGATCTGGTTACTGACCCTATCCGTAACCATGCTTCAAATTTCCGAAGCACAGATAGTGGCTGTCCCCATATTCTATTTCACTGATGGATTTTTCACCGAGTATTCCATCAAAAAAACTTTTTGTCATCGGTCATCACCGAGTCGGGTCTATCCGGTCGGCTTCCATCGGCACTACAGTCACAATCATGACACATAGCGACTCTGCCTCCCTCTTTCCTTGCTCCGGGCACCTATGTCACTTTGTGGCTTCACCGCCCTACATACTCTTAGACTAAAATAATGTTCTTTAAGAAGAAGAGCCTTAATAGCTCTTGAGAGCAAGACAACCTATGATGAGTGGGCACATTTAAACCTAATCCCCCATAGATGAGTTGTAGATGAGACATGCACATGACTTGGGTCTGTCAATACACTCACACTCAGAGCTACTGGAGCCAACTTAACTGCACATCCTGATAGCTTAAGTCTAGACTAGAAAATCTTCGTGTATTATACATGGCATTTGAGGGAAAACTCGAGTTGGCTGTTGCTGCATCGGTCCGTGATTTGATGCAAATAAGCACCAACATTCAGTGAAATCAGTGCACAAATTTTTGGGGGAGTAGCTTCTAAGCTAAGGTAAACTCAGATTACCATTCCTATTAATGTTGAGAGCTTAACTCCTGAGAATTGTGTACTCTACATTGGATGTGAGAGAGATCTTGGTTTGGTGGCAGACCGTATCGGTCCGTGATTTGATGCAAACAAGCATCAACATCCAGCGGAAAGGGATATGCCTCGAGGTATGATATGTTGAATTGGGAGGACGAAGTGATCGGATTGCAATCCTAATTTTTTCATTATTCACTTGGCCACATGACTCTGTCTGCCGAACCTCACTTGCGTTTTCCGTTCAAGTATGCCTCCCGCCTCCGATCTGCCTTGGGTTTCCATTTTGAAGCCAACGGCCATAAATTTAAAGTTATCCTCTCTCGTTCAGCGGAGGGAATCGAAACGGTTGAGGTCCAATCGGATTTGGGCCTAATGTTCTACATAGTATAGACCTTGGGTTAATTTTCGCGAGAGCCGCCGGATAACGTCGGAACTGTCAGCTATGCCGGGAAGCCGACCAGTTTAAACTTAATCCATTAAAGTACAGGGATTGAAAAAAAAAAGGTAAGTACGAGTTTTGCCGGGCAACGCAACGGCCCTACTCCCCAAGTATACAGTGGAATTCAACGCTGCGCCGCTCCGGCGAATGCCGTCGGATCATGATGATGGTCAAAAAAACAACATGAAACACTGGCTCTACACTGGCCATCAACATCTGCCAATGGCCACCAGTAATCACTGGTAGCCATCGTTGGCCACCATTGAACTTTCCAGCGGCGCGTATATTACTCCATTTATTTGGACCCAGGTCACGGAGAAAAGTGAGAGTTTTTTTTTGAAATTTTGCACCCTTGTAAGGGCCATTTCCTGCACAGCTTCCGTCACCAGTCCGTTGTATTTATTCCCATAACAGAGTGACAAAAGTCGTGATGGAAATAAGAAAAACTGGAGGCTAATCGATTATCGAGCCTATCGAGCCCCTTGCGGCTCCTAGCCCACGCTTGGACGGATTTTAATGCCGGTGATGGGAGGTCAACGACGGGTGGAAATAGATTCCACGGATTTGATGTGTAATAAGCTGGCGAGAAAAACAAAGCTGATAGAGCGATGGACCTGCCCTTGAACAAGGGGTTCCCAATACAGGCACTGGTGAGCCATTATGGGTGGGCGCGGACCGCTCGGCCTCCAGGTCCGCCATTGAACTTGATAAATGTGTCCGATTTGAGTCCAAGGTCCAAAAAAAACGAGAACCATTGTTGGTGGTTCAGAACAATGACCTGGCCTTGAATTGAACAAGGACCTCCCAGCCAAATGGATGGCAGCGGCATTATTATTATTGGGCGCGGACCGCTCCGCCTCCGGGTCATATTTCTCCTGTAGTGAACTTGGATAAACGCCATGGATTTCAACGCAAAGCGATGAAAATATGATAAACTGCAACTGCAGTGAAGCTGCTCAAGTGCCGCAGATTGTGAACGCAGAATGGCAGCAAATTAAATTAAAAGTCCCAATACAAGGAATTCAGTGCATGTGAAAAAAGTTCAGAGATAAGAGGATGGTGTTTACGCCAAGGGTCTTTTGAAGAAAGAAAAACCAAATGTGTTAGGGATGCACGACTTTGCCTTGAGTCGAACAAGGGAGTCCCCAATAATATCAAAGAGTCGGGGCATTGATCGAGGGCGCGGACCATTCCGCCTTCAGGTCGTATTCATGCAGCGTTGAATCTGGATAAGTGCGTACGGGGGAGCCAAAGGACAGAAAAACAAAACAAGAAAAAAGCCCCTGGAACTTTGACCACACCGTGAATAGAAAAATATTATTCGCATCCCTGGGAGTGGAATGAGTGGGTGCGGCTAGGATGAAGGAGAACGAAAGCTGGCTCGGAAGTTTAGATAAAAGACAAAGTACAATTGACTATCTCATAATGCATATGGTTGGGAGCCCTGCCAAAGTCTGCGTGGCCCTATGCATTGTCAGATCTATACATTGCGAGGTTGGATTTACAGTGAGGATCAGCAGTTTGTACCCTCCATTTCAGTTCCAAATTCCTATGCATTGTCAGATTTTTTGGCAGGTATGCATTGTGATATCATGCATTGTGAGATAGTCAACTGTAGACCTCAACCATGACCATGACCTGGCCTTGAGTCGAACAAGAGACTCCCACGCAACGTCCTATTACAAACATCCGACACGAGGTATAGGCACGGACCACGCCTCCAGGTCGTATTTCACCTTGTATTGAACCTGAATAAACGGGAAAATTTAGATAAAAGACAAAGTAGACCTCAACCATGACCATGACCTGGCCTTGAGTCGAACAAGAGACTCCCACGCAACGTCCTATTACAAACATCCGACACGAGCTATAGGCGCGGACCACTCCGCCTCCAGGTCATATTTCTCCTGTATCGAACCCGAATAAATGTGGAACTCGCGATCGGAGTCAATGGCCGGGAAAAAAACCCGTCGAACTGACCTGACTTTGAATCGAACGGTATTACACTTGCACTTGGTCTTCATATGAGTTGAATAATTCGGACTAAATGGGCCCAAATTTTAAAAAATCTCAATCCGCTCCATTATAACCTGGCCTTGAGTCGAACAAAGGCTCTCCCAGGGCAACGCTGTACTAACATCATATTTGGGCGCGGACCGCTCCGCCTCCAGGTCGTATTTCTCCTTGTATTGAACCTGTATAAATGTGTCGGTCTCAATTCTCGATTGGGGTCAAACCGACCAAAAGAAAGAAGCGACCATCGAACAATATTCATGATTCACCTTCCTGGTGAATAGGTGCGCGCCATTCGGATGAAAGAGAACGAAAGGAAGGCTTGGAGGTTGAGATAAAAAGAAATTTAAAATGCAACTCATGACCTGGCCTTGAGTCGAACAAGGGCCTCCCAATAGAATGCTGAGGCCGTCCCACTCATTATCTTTAGGCGCGGACCGCTCCGCTTCCAGGTCATATCTTCACTTGTGTTGAACTTGAATAAGTGCCGCTGATTTTGAGCGTAGGCAAGTGTTAAAAACGAAGTTGCAATGTCTCCAAGTATACGTACAACGAGGTCGGGAGACGACAATTTAAATTGCTATTAGGGTGGGACCGCTCGTGATATTGTGATCGACAGGAATTTCGAGAATTTTTAGATGGCCAGAGTTCAAAAATGCTGCAGTCTGCAAAAAGGATGGAGGACACGACGAATACAACCTGGCCTTGAGTCGAACAAGGACCTCCCAGCGAAAACGCTGGTCTCCTACTATTATTTGTGGGTGCAGACCACTCCGCCACCAGGTCGCGTTTACACCATGACTGTTTGTAAGACCTTGGACCGCAGTTCGGCCTTAGTGAGATGGTTAGTAAGAGGAAGGCGACGACGGGTAGAATCAACAAACGCACACAAGTGATCAGTCAGAGCCACTGCCGCCGCGTCCGGGTCCTTGTACCCTTTTTCATTTCCTGTTCTTCTTGCTTGTCTGCTGCCTGTTTCTAGAATCGACGGCCGACGATGCGCGAGTCGAACTTTGCGTTCCCGGCGCAGAACAAGGCGTGTGTGTGCATCACCTCGCAGCTGTACGACAGGAGGGGTGAGCAGTGGTGTATTCCTTGTAAATGGTATACTAATACGACTACAGCACTCGACACGTCCTCGGCGCTGCCTCTATTCAACTCTCTTACGCACCTCGCATACCTCACGTCGACCTCGCCGCGGATCCGCGAGACCATGACGATGGATGGCGGGCTTGAGCGGCTCGTGCGCATCCTGCACGACTTCTGCGTCGCTCCGCCCCCGCCCGCGTCGCCCTCTCAGTTCTACGGCCTCCTACCACCGAGCTACCGCCCCCCCGCGCCCGTGCCCACACTCAATCCACCCGCGGGCCAGTTCGACAAACACGCGGCCCACCGCTTCAGCCTCGCGTTCCAGTGCGTCGTGAACATCGGCGTGAGGGGCAGCGAGCCAATCCGCAGCCGCGTGGTACAGGCGGGCACGCTTGATGTGGTGGGGTGCATACTCGAGGCGTGGCTGGCCGGAAGGAGGTTTGCCGTCGGTCCGAGTACGAGTGCGACGGGGCTGCCGAGGGGGTCGAGGGAGGCGCGTGCGGCGAGGAGGGCGGCGGCGGCGGCGGCTGTGTCTGCCGGACGGATTGGGGGAAGAGATGTGGTAAGTCTGGGTGGTCTTGTGCCTGTGCGCTTTGCTCTTCTTGTGCGGCGGGATCGATAGACGGGGCGCTGGCAGTGGCGTTGGTGCGCTACACGGATTTTTGGAGGCAACGGTGCGCGAGGGCCCGGGGCCCGGGGATATAGCGGCGTTGCCCTGACATTAGTTGCCGCCACCCTTGCAGGGTCTCGTGCTTAGGGCGGCTGGCGGGGTGACGACGCGCACCCTGCGCTATCCACTAGCAGTAGGGTGGTCGTGCTGCCGGTGCTCTCGATTTGCTATACACGATATCGTGTACAGCGCGATAACGACAGTGCCCCCGCCGTTCTTATCTACTTTTCTTCTTCTCATTTTCCCTCTCTTTTTTCCTCTTCCTTTTATCGCCCCTCCCCACGTCTTCCCCGTCGTCCACCTCGCTCGCTTGCTTCCGCACTTCATTACCTTATTTTTTTCGCGTTTATCCTCCCTTTCTCATTCTGCTCCCACCGCACCGCACCGCACCCTCTCCTACCTGCCCCATCCTCTCCCTTCGTCTGCCGTCGTTACCTCTCCTTCCCCTCTCGTTCTTCGGATCACTCCCTATCGCTTGTTTTGCCTGCGCCCCTCCCTCATCTCTGCCCTTCTCACCCTCCCGCCCATCATGCCTCTTGCCCTCGCTCGCTGCTTATCCAATTATTTCCGCGTTTATCCTCCTTATTTCGCTCCTCGCCTTTCCCACACTTCTGCGTCCTCGCCGTCCATCCATCACCTCCCCCGCCCTCCGAAGGAGGCCATTCTTATTATCTTACACGATGTCGTATGTAGCGAATAAATATATAATTTTTCAATCTTTCCCGCAAGTAAGCTCCGCCTCCCCCTATGCCAAGTCTCTGCGTCGTTCCCGCACCCTAGCTATACGCCTTTCTCGCCGCGCACGGACCTTGAGAGTGGGCAAATGGCGTGGAGATCTTTTGAGATTTTGCGCACCTTTTCATCACAAGTCAATTGCATTCATTTTATGACAGAGTCACAAGAAATCGCAAGTGGAATTAAAAAAGACTATCATTCTGGGAAGCTGATCAGCCCCTCGCGGCTGCTAGACCGCGCTTTAACCGGTTTTGATGCGTGGTGGGAAATCAACGACGCGCGGAAATGGGTGGACGACTCAGAAAGAAAAAGAAAAAGCCCTTGAATTAATTCCGATTTTCGCTCGGAGGAGTAGGCACACGGATTTAAATTTGATGTGGAATAGAAAAAGCTGAGAAGGCGGAAACATGACCTGGCCTTGGGTACAACAAGGGCCTCCCAAGTGTAGATGTGACAATATAGTTGGACGCGGACCGCCCCGCCTCTCGGTCATATTCATTCTCCTGTGAACCTGCATAAACACCATGGATTTCGACGCAGAAAAGCGTCCAAAAAGGTCTAATGAATTCAGTGCGCGGACAAAACAGTGCAGCAAGGCGATATTTTTGGATGAGCAGGCGCACGGCGAGTTTGATGCGCAATAATAATTCTGGAAGTAGAAAAAATGAGGAAAGGGCAGACCTATGACCTGTCCTTGAGTCGAACAAGGCGCTCCCAAGGTCATGTTGTACTCGCCTCATTATGATTCGGCGCGGACCACTCCGCCTCCAGGACATATTTCACCTTTATTGAACTTGAACTAACCTGAATAGATGTGTGGGACTTGAATCAAGGGCAAAGAAAGAAAAAAAGAAAAACCTTGGAACTGGGCTCTGGCTGTGAATCGAACATATATATTATTTTTCGTGGGTTGAATAAGGTTAAGATGAAGGAGCCTTGGAAGTTTAGAGAAAAAAGATCACACGGACCCAGACCATGACCTGGCCTTGAGTCGAACAAGGGCCTCCCCATAGAATGCTGCGCCTCAATTATTATCTTTGGGCGCGGACCGCTCCGCTTCCAGGTCATATCTTCACTTGTGTTGAACTTGCATGAACGCCACCGATTTTGAGCGTAGAAAAGCGTCCAAAACGAAGTCCCAAGTCCCGCGTATCCAATTTAAATTGCTGTTGGAAGCGGATCACTCCCGGCGCTATTTCGATCGACAGGAATTTCGAGAAAATTCGTACGGCCGGAGCTCAAAACTGCTGCAGCCTGCAAAAGGATGAAGGACACGACGAATACGACCTGGCATTGAGTGGAACAAGGGTCTCCCATTCTAGATGATTCGTACATCCATATGTACTATCTGTGAACTCCGTCTCCAGGTCGTATTTCACCTTGTATTTCACCTGCATAAAGTGCGGCCGATTTTGAGCATAGGAAAGCGAGAAAAGCAAAGTCCTGTTAATAATTCAGTGCATGTGTATGTGAGAGGGTCGGAAATAATAAGGTATAGGAGAGCCATTTGAGGAGGAACGGCGGAATGCAAAATGAATTTTCCAAAGAAGGAGAATGTTGTTAACCCTGGCGATGACCTGGCCTTGAGTGGAACAAAGGGCTCCCACTGAACCTCGGGCTGCCGTATCCATTGATGAGGTGTGGGCGCGGACCGCTCCGCCTCCAGGTCATATTTCACTTGTATTTAACCTGCTTAAGTGCCGTCGATTTTGAGGGCAGAAAGGCAGCCAAAAAAGCCCCAAGTAATTCGGTGCTCGCAGCTGGAAAGGCAAACATTTTTCGGAGGAGCAGGTGTACGAGGTTTTTTCCCCCTTTGCGCAAGTAATCTGAAAGAAGAGATGAAGAGAAAGAAGAAGAAGAAACGGGATCGAGTCCTATTGCATGACTTGGGCTTGAGTCGAACAAGGGACTCCCAGGCAATGTCTGGGCAGAATTGCAACATGAAGTGTGGGCGCGGACCGTTCCGCCTCCAGGCTATACTTTGCATATATTGAACCTGGATAAAGGTGTGTGATCAGAGTCCAAGTCAAAGAGGACAATATAGGAAACTTCACTCCATCGTTGGACGACCCGGCTGTGAATCGGACAGTATTATATTTCGTGTGGGTTCCATACGCGCGCAGGCATAGAATGAAGAAGAGGTAAAGGACTCGGAAGTTGAGATAAAAAGGCGCAAATGAGTGCATTATGACCTGGCCTTGAGTCGAACAAGGGACGCCCACTTAATTTAAGGCTTCTTGGCCCATGAGGTGTGGGCGCGGACCGCTCCGCATCCAGGTCGTATTCATACTGGACTGGAACCTGAATAAGTGTCGTCATTTCAACGCACAGAAATCAATGCTCAGGCGCAAGCAAAATTAAGTGGGAAAAGCTGCGCGAGGGCATTTGGGCCTTGGTTTGAGGAGCAGGCGAACGGCTTCTATGACCAATAAGCTGGAAGAAAAAATGCAGTGGACGCCTGAACGACCTGGCCTTGAGTCGAACAAGGGGCTCCCAATTCCTTTCCGTGGGTGTGGGTGCGGACCGCTCCGCCTGCAGGTAGTATTCCTCTTGTAATAATGTCTATTCCTCTTGTAATAATGTCTATTGGAGTCAACGATTTTTTAAAAAAAATCGTGGAACTGACCTGGCTGTGAATCAAATAATGTGGTCGTATTTCATCTTCATGTGGGTTGAATAAATCGGATTAAATGGGACCAAAGGAAACCCGGACGTTAAGATTCTAACAAAGTGCTAGGAGCGTGCGCTATGACATGGCCTTGAGTCGAACAAGAAACTCTTATTTAGGCTGTGGGCGTGGACCGCTCCGCCTCCAGGCCATATTCATCCTGCTGTGAATCTGCGTAAGTGCCGCGGATTTTAGGAAAAAGGCAGAGTAAATCAGTGCTCACAGAAAAGGCAACATTTTTCGGAGAAGCAGGCGCACGGGTTAAAACTCCTGGCAGACGAAAAAAAGGATGTGTGAAGTTTGCGATGACTTGGCCTTAAGTCGAACAAGGTGCTCCCAAGACTACGAGTTACTCATCTCATTATGATTGGGCGCGGACCGCTCAGCGTCCAGGACATATTTCAGCTTTATTGAACCTGAACTAACCTGAATAGATGTATGGGACTTGAATCAAAGGCAAAGAAAGAAAAAAAGAAAAACCTTGGAACTGGGCCCTCGCTGTGAATCGAACAGATATATTATATTTCGTGGGTTGAATAAGGTTAAGATGAAGGAGCCTTGGAAGTTTAGAGAAAAAAGATCACACGGACCCAGCCCATGACCTGGCCTTGAGTCGAACAAAGGCCTCCCAAATGAAGTGTGGAAGAGTGATACTATCTTTGGGCGCGGACCACTCCGCCTCCAGGTCACATTCCTTTTGTATCGAACCTGAATAAATGTGGAACTCTCAATGGCCGGGAAGAAAACCGTGGAACTGATCTGACTTTGAATCGAACAGTATCGCACTTGCACTTGGTCTTCATATGGGTTGAATAATTCGGATTAAATGGGCTCCAATTTTAAAAAACTCACAGTTTTCCCAGTTATGACCTGGCCTTGAGTCGAACAAGGGCTCTCAACTGAGCACATAGCAACGGGTCAGTATCTTTGAGCGCGGACTGCTCCGCCTCCAGGTTGTATTTCTTCCTGATTTGAACCTATATAAATGTGTCAGTCTCGATTCTCGATTGGGGTCAAACCGACGAAAAGAAAGACGCTTGATGAGTCGACCATGAATAGAACAATATTATACTTCGTCTCCCTGTGAGTGGGTTAAGTGCGCGCCATTCGGATGAAAGAGAACGAAAGGAAGGCACGAAAGTTGAGATAAAAGAAAAATTTGAGCGAAGAAATCGATAATGACCTGGCCTTGAGTCGAACAAGGGAATCCCATTTAACCAAACAGAATTCTTGATGGGCGCGGACCACTCCGCCAACAGGTCATATTCTCCTTGTGTTAAACCTGCCTAAGTGCCGCTCATTTTGAGGGTAGGCAAGCGTTAAAAACGAAGTCCTAAGTCCCACGTATATACATAGAACGAGGTCGGGAGACGCCAATTTAAATTGCTATTGCGCGAATTCAAATTGCTGTTGGGGGCGGACCACTCTGATATCCAGGCGATATTTTGATGGAAAGGAATTTCGAGAAAATTTGTACGGTAGGAGTTCAAAAATGCTGTAGCCTGCAAAAAGAATGGAGGACACAAAATACGACCTGGCCTTGAGTCGAACAAGGGCCTCCCAACAGAATGCAGGTGTTTTCCAGTTATTATCTTTGGGCGCGGACCGCTCCGCTTCCAGGTCATATTTCACGTCGTTCGAACCTGCTTAAGTGCCATCGATTTCGAGCGTAGAAGAGTATCCAAAATGAAGTCCCAAGTCCCACGTATGTGAAACAATGTCGGGAGACGTCAATTTAAATTGCAGAAGGGTGTGAACTCCTGGCAGACGAAGAAAAGGATGTGTGAAGTTTGCGATGACCTGGCCTTGAGTCGAACAAGGCGCTCCCAAGGGCACGTTGTACTCGCCTCATTATGATTGGGCGCGGACCGCTCCGCCTCCAGGACATATTTTACCTTTATTGAACCTGAACTAACCCGAATACATGTGTGGGACTTGAATCAAATTATTATCAAAGGCAAAGAAGGAAAAAAAGAAAAACTTTAGAACTGGGCCCTGGCTGTGAACCGAACAGATATATTATATTTCGTGGGTTGAATACGGTTCAGATGAAGGAGAATGAACGGAGCCTTGGAAGTTTAGAGAAAAAATGTGATGCCACATCATACATGACCTGGCCTTGAGTCGAACAAGGCACTCCCACGCAATGTCATGCCAGTGTGCACATATGAAGTGTGGGCGCGGACCGTTCCGCCTCCAGGCCATACTTTGCATATATTGAGCCTGGATAAAGGTGTGTGATTAGAGTCTACGTCAAAAAGGACAATAAAGGAAACTTCACTCCATCGTTCAATGGACGACCTGACTAGTATTATATTTCGTGTAGGATCAATACGCGCGCAGGCATAGGATGAAGGAGAGGTAAAGGAATTGGAAGTTGAGATAAAAAGGCGGGGATGCCAAGGATGACCTGGCCTTGAGTCGAACAAGGGCCTCCCAACCGAATGCTGAGGTCGCCCAATTATTATATTTGGGCGCGGACCGCTCCGCCTCCAGGTCGTATTTTTCCTTGTATTGAACCTGTATAAATGTGTCAGTCTCGATTCTCCACTGGAGTCAAACCGACAAAAAGAAAGAAGCGACCATGGAACAATATTATACTTCACCTTCCTGGTGAATAAGTGCGCGCCATTCGGATGAAAGAGAACGAAAGGAAGGCTTGGAAGTTGAGATAAAAGAAAAAAATTGAGAACAGAAATAATGTAATGACCTGGCCTTGAGTCGAACAAGGGCCTCCCCATAGACTGCTGCGCCATAATCATTATCTTTGGACGCGGGCCGCTCCGCTTCCAGGTCGTATCTTCACTTGTGTTGAACCTGCCTAAATGCCGATTTTGAGCGTAGGCAAGCGTTAAAAAGGAAGTCCCAAGTTCCACGTATATGGAACAAGGTGGGGAGACGCCAATTTAAATTGCTGTTGGGGGCGGACCAAATCCGACTTCCAGGCGAGATATTTCGATCGACAGGAATTTCGAGAAAATTTGTACGGCCAGAGTTCAAAAATACTGCAGCCTGCAAAGAGGATGGAGACACGACTAATACGACCTGACCTTGAGTCGAACAAGGACCTCCCAACCGAAGGAGTGCTTCAAAGTCATCATCATGTTTGAGCGCGGACCACTCCACCACCAGGTCACATTTACCCTGGGTAAATTCTGGCCTTGGACGCGCGGCTCGGGCTTAATGAGATGGTTGGTAAGAAGAAGGCGACGCCGGGTAGAATCAACAGACGCACACAGCCACTGCCGCCGCGTCTGAGTCCTTGTACCCTTATTCATTTCCTGTTCTTCTTGCTTGTCTGCCTCTTGTTCCTAGAATCGATGGCCGACGATGCGCGAGTCGAACTTTACGTTCCCGGCGCAGAACAAGGCGTGTGTGTGCATCACCTCGCAGCTATACGACAGGAGGGGTGAGCAGTGGTGTATTCCTTGTAAATGGTATACTAATAGGACTACAGCACTCGACACGTCCTCTGCGCTGCCTCTATTCAACTCTCTTACGCACCTCACATACCTCACGTCGACCTCGCCGCGGATCCGCGAGATCATGACGATGGACGGCGGGCTTGAGCGGCTCGTGCGCATCCTGCACGACTTCTGCGTCGCCCCGCCCCCGCCCGCGTCTCCCTCCCAGCTCCACGGCCTCCTGCCCCCGAGCTACCGCCCCCCCGCGCCCGTGCCCACGCTCAATCCACCCGCAGGCCAGTTCGACAAGCACGCGGCCTACCGCTTCAGCCTCGCGTTCCAGTGCGTCGTGAACATCGGCGTGAGGGGCAGCGAGCCAATCCGCAGCCGCGTGGTACAGGCGGGCACGCTTGATGTGGTGGGGTGCATACTCGAGGCGTGGCTGGCCGGAAGGGGGTTTGCCGTCGGTCCGAGTACGAGTGCGACGGGGCTGCCGAGGGGGCTCGAGGGAGGCGCGTGCGGCGAGGAGGGCGGCGGCGGCGGCGGCTGTGTCTGCCGGACGGATTGGGGGAAGAGATGTGGTAAGTCTGGGTGGTCTTGTGCCTGTGCGCTTTGCTCTTCTTGTGCGGCGGGATCGATAGACGGGGCGCTGGCAGTGGCGTTGGTGCGCTACACGGATTTTTGGAGGCAACGGTGCGCGAGGGCCCGGGGCCCGGGGATATAGCGGCGTTGCCCTGACATTAGTTGCCGCCACCCTTGCAGGGTCTCGTGCTTAGGGCGGCTGGCGGGGTGACGACGCGCACCCTGCGCTATCCACTAGCAGTAGGGTGGTCGTGCTGCCGGTGCTCTCGATTTGCTATACACGATATCGTGTACAGCGCGATAACGACAGTGCCCCCGCCGTTCTTATCTACTTTTCTTCTTCTCATTTTCCCTCTCATCTACCATCTTCGGGCGCGGACCGCTCCGCCTCCAGGTCGTATTTTTCCTTGTATTGAACCTGTATAAGTGTGTCAGTCTCGATTCTCGACTGGAGTCAAACCGACAAAGGGAAAGAAGCGACCATGAATGGAACAATATTATAATTCACCTTCCTGGCGAGTAAGTGCGCGCCATTCGGATGAAAGAGAACGAAAGGAAGGCTTGGAAGTTTAGAAAAAAAAGATGGCATGAATGGAGTATGACCTGGCTTTGAATCGAACAAGGGCCTCCCAACAGTATTCAAGGTAACCAATTATTATCTTTGGGCGCGGACCGCTCCGCTTCCAGGTCATATTTCATTTCGGTCGAACCTGCCTAAGTGCCGCTGATTTTGAGCGTAGGCAAGCGTTAAAAGCGAAGTCCCAATGTCCCCAAGTATACATACAACGAGGTCGGGAGACGACAATTTAAATTGTTATTGGGGGCGCACCGCTCCGACATCCAGGCGATATTGTGATCGACAGGAATTTCGAGAAAATTTGGATGGCCAGAGTTCAAAAATGCTGCAGTCTGCAAAAAGGATGGAGGACACGACGAATACAACCAAGGGGCTTCGAAGATAAGAAATTTCCCTATATGGACAGGGAGGGAGGGGTCCCCCCGAGGTCTGAAAATATTTTTTTGTATGAGATTTGGAAACTGGTTCCTTTACTCAGATTTGTGCAAAACATGCTTCAGAAAAAAATTGGAATTTTTGGGGCTAATTTTTAAGTCTCTTTGATTCTCAGGATCGTCAGCTATGGCTCAATTTATGCCTCTGCAGCCTCGGCTCACACAGATAAACTTTGCATACGTGTAAGTTAATGTTTTCCGGAAGTTGCCGATCAGGCCGTACCAGGCCGGTATATCACGTGTCCGATTGATGTGCCTAAAACCGAGATTTATTTTCAGTCAAAATAGGTGCTACAGCTCAAGGAAAGAGCTGAATACTCTACATAAATCATCCAAAACACTCTCCTGCATGAATGCTGGTCCTGGCATTCATTTCGAGGAGAAAAGAATTGGCAGTTTCCATATCAGGAAGTTCTCACGCCATCATTAGGGAGGGAGGGGTCCCTGAAGGCTCTGAGAAAACAAATGGAAGGTATGTGCGGATTTTCGCATTTTCAATGCCCCTTGAATACAACCTGGCCTTGAGTCGAACAAGGACTTCCCAGCGAAAACGCTCGTCTCCTACTATTATTTGTGGGTGCGGACCACTCCGCCACCAGGTCGCGTTAACACCACGACTGTTAGTAAGACCGTGGACCGCAGTTCGGCCTTAGTGAGATGGTTAGTAAGAGGAGGGCGACGGCGGGTAGAATCAACAAACGCACACAAGTGATCAGTCAGGGCCCGCCGCGTCCGAGTCCTTGTAAGTACCCTTTTTTCATTTCCTGTTCTTCTTGCTTGTCTGCCTCTTGTTCCTAGAATCGACGGCCGACGATGCGCGAGTCGAACTTTGCGTTCCCGGCGCAGAACAAGGCGTATGTGTGCATCACCTCGCAGCTGTACGACAGGAGGGGTGGGTACGGTCTACTCGTCCTATAAGATATACTAATCGGACTATAGCACTCGACACGTCCTCTGCGCTGCCCTTTTTCAACTCTCTTACGCACCTCACATACCTCACGTCGACCTCGCCGCGGATCCGCGAGATCATGACGATGGACGGCGGGCTTGAGCGGCTCGTGCGCATCCTGCACGACTTCTGCGTTACCCCGCCCCCGCCCGCGTCTCCCTCCCAGTTCTACAGCCTCCTGCCTCCGAGCTACCGCCCCCCCGCGCCCGTGCCCACGCTCAATCCACCCGCAGGCCAGTTCGACAAGCACGCGGCCTACCGCTTCAGCCTCGCGTTCCAGTGCGTCGTGAACATCGGCGTGAGGGGCAGCGAGCCGATCCGCAGCCGCGTGATGCAGGCGGGCACGCTCGATGTGGTGGGGTGCATACTCGAGGCGTGGCTGGCCGGAAGAGGGTTTGCGGTCGGCCCGAGCACGAGTGCGACGGGGCTACCGAGGGAGTCGAGGGAGGCGCGTGCGGCGAGGCGGGCGGCGGCGGCGCCTGTGGCTGCCGGACGGATTTGGGGAAGAGATGTGGTGAGTATTGCTGGTCTTATATATGTATGCGCGTTCTTTTTTTTTTGTGCGGCGGGGTCAATGGACGCGGCGCTGCACGGATCTTTGGCGGCGACTGTGCGCGAGAGCGCGGAGCACGGGTATACGTATGCGCTGCCCCGACTCCATTGTCGCGCTCGTGCTCGGTCCGACTGGCGGGACGACAACGCACGCCCTACTCTATCCACGGGGCCGTCGGATGATCGTGCTGCGCGGGCTGGGATACGCTTTAATGCCCCGCTGTTCTCCATCTTGTCCTAAGCGCGTCTCGATACCTTCTCTTCTTTCTTCTTTCTCTTCATTTCTTTCCCTCTACGTCGCACGCCTCGCCCGCCTTTCATTGCATAACCTTTTCGCCTCCATTTCTTCCATCTTTACTACTCTTTTTACTTTTGGTCTATTCTATTCTCATCCCTCCACATCCTCCCCACGCCTCTCGTCGTTTGTCCCTCACTCTCTCCCTTCTCTCCCTCGTCATTCCCTCCCTCCCATCGCTCGCCACTCCTCCCTGTCTTCACCGTCCATTCTCCTCCGCCCCTCCTCACAACTCCTCATTTGCTCTCTTCACCATTCTTACTCCCACTTCCCCCGCCCTCCAAAAGCGAAAGCCATGCTCTTTATTACTATGTAGCAAATGAATATGTATTATTTGCCAAAGCACGTGCGCCCAAATTCGGCTTCGCTTCCCGCCCACGGTATATCCCGTGCTCGTGCCCACGGACCTC